AATGGAATGCTACAAGGCGAAACAAAAAAGACTGTAAAAGTAAAACTCGGATATGGGCTTCCCTGGTGGCGCTGTGGTTGACAGCCCGCCTGCCGACGCAGGGGACACGGGTTCGTGCCCCGGTCCGGGAGGATCCCACATGCCGCGGAGCGGCTGGGCCCATGAGCCATGGCCGCTGAGCCTGCGCGTCCAGAGCCTGTGCTCCGCAATGGGAGAGGCCACAACGGTGAGAGGCCCGCATACCGAAAAAAAAAAAAAAAAAAAGTTAAAATGTACAAAATCCTTATTCAATTCTGTTTTGATCATTTTATGCTAAGGAATATATTAAAGATGAGCACACAAACTTAAACTTCAAGAATATTTATCACAGCATAATAAATTTAAATAAATATATGTAAACAAGGAGGGGGACAATGAACCCAATGCCCACCCAAAGGGAACTGATTCATTAAAACGACACTTTAAAATTTAAATGGAAAATGTTTACAATATATTAATTAGAACCAAAAAGCAGGTCACCCGATAATATGTAACCTAAGATTTATGAAGGGTACACTCAATGAGTTAACTGTGATTATCTCTGAGTAACGGGAGATTATGGGATTTTTAAAAATTTTATCATTTTTCTTTTTGGTTTTTTCCCTAAAATGAACATATATTACTTGTTAATAAGAAAAAAGTATACACTCACAGCTCTTAAAAATAAAGGTGAGTGTTAGACTGTAAAACTGAGTACTAGACCACACTGAACTCCCAGGATGCTGGTGTATTCAAAGCCCTGCTCCCCGCAGAGGAGCTCTGACCTCCCATTACCATGGCTCAGGGGAGCAGGGATTAAATCAGAAGCTAGATAAAATCCTAGGTCTTCTGTTTCAGTCCCTGACTGTGGGACTGAAATCCCACTGAAATACACAAATCCATACCTACATTAAGCCTCACAGGACTATATATGTTTCCAGAAAAGGGAACGGCAAATCCACGTATAAACATGAAAACCAATATAAATAGTTTTGACTGGAAAGAATTCTAGGTGAAAAACAAACAAACGAACAAAAAAACCCAACCCACTACCTTTCCTGAATTATCAAGTCTGAGCAGTTAGACGGTGGTGATCACTTAACCAAGGTAATCTCATTGCCCCCAGACTCTGGCAGAAAAGCCCCATCTGTCTTTCTCTGTAAAGTGGCGAAGAGAACTCCCACACAGAGTACCTGTGACAATTCAGTGCGATAATGCACGAAAAAGCAAGTTACAGATGCAAACTGTGGGTTATTATACTCCTCATGAGCTCAAGTTTCCCCACCACAGGAGAAGACTCCTAGGAAAAGAGCAAAACACCTCTCCCAGGAAGCTCCCTTCTCTGAATTCTGCGTGGCCGCGCATGCGCTTGAGTATTAGGCAGCACTGCATGCGATTTATCTCATAGCTCACCATGATCTGAGTTCCCCCCGGGGCCACAGAGCTAAAGGTGGGAGCAGCTGCTTACCTGACACCAGAGGGGCCCCAGTATCTTAGCTGACAAATCCCATTACGGTAGAAGGTCTCGGTTTAATTCTGGTTTTAAGAGAAAGGTGCTTCTCTTCTTCCTTGTTAGTCAAAAAGACTCTAAACCAAATAAAACAACAACAAACTCTAAAGATAAAACATTTCAGTGTTAATTATCAATGCCATACGTTCCCCCCCAGCTTCTCAAGGTCACACCTCCCCACTGCATGATGACAGAGGGTGGCTGACACGGGACATGGGAAGACAACTCCTGTGAAATCCAAGCTCTCATGGAAAGAGCAAATAGCTCAGATCCCAGCCTGCCACGACAAAGGACCCACAAAGCCAAACAGAAGAAGCCCCCGAGCACCTGTCAATCTGCCTGTTCCTTTGCCTCCTCAGAAAGAACGAATCACAAGACTGCTCAGAAAGGGCAGGAGCTCCCGAAGCAGCTGAATTTCATGCTGTTTCCAAAGAGTGAGCTTGCATGCTGTGCTGGTTATTTGCACGGTGGGCAGACGAGGCTGACAGCTTGAGGGGGCTATTTTAGGGGGATACCCTGCGAGTCTGGTTAGAAGACAGTCCTGGGCCCTGAGCTCCCAGTAACCACTTTCTGCTCCCAGGCAGACCCCTCCATCCACCAGGGGTTAAAATGACCCACACAGGGTCTTTGTATTTAAACCATCCCAAGGGGACCCGGCGTGAGGAGAGAGAAGGGAAGGGGGTGTGAGAGAGAGGACCTTCCCACCCGTAAGTGCACTTCTGGAGAGCCTCCCTAAGTGCACTTAGGAAGCTAAATACACTGAAAAAAAACAGAAGGAAGAGGCTGAGAAGACAACCTTAACCACAGAAATGCTTCCTCCTCCCTCCCCTCCTCCGGGGCATCAAATGTCTCCCTACTGTGTACTCTCCCTCCCACGCCCGGCCAAAAGCAGATCTGAATGCAGATCAAAGGCAGCGCTGAATGCAGATCAAAGGCACAGTGGTGCCCAGTGTCTCTCTCCTACACAGGGACTCTCTGAAAAGTGTTCCAGGTCATCAAGAGGGCTCCCAGACAGCAGTCATAACCTCTTTCTTATAGAAGAAACCAGGCTCAGCACAAGCGATAACGTATTTTCACTTAAGGCAGTCACATGCATACACGCCTATTTCCATACAGACACCTACGTGGTTTTTCACAGCAGGAGGCAGGCAGGAAGCCTGTTCCATGAGTCTAGAATCCTTTGCTTTCCTCATCTGATTCTAGCAGCAATAGCAATTTCCATTAGGGGTTTTCTTTGATGAGGGCTGATTACAGATCAAAATGCCACCCTCTGGCTTGGTCTCCTTCCCACCGTACCAGCCCCGTGAGATCCATCAACAAACTGGGAAACAAAGATGGAGGGAGGCGCAGGCTGCGTTCCTTAAAAGTGGAGAGCACACTCTGGCTGAGCTACTGGACTTGGTAAACTTTGCAGGCTGACCCTTCTTTGCTCAGGGCATCCAGGATGCAGCTCTCAAGCCTCTTAACACACTTCTCTCTCTCCGCACCAGTAAGGCACAAGGATTTTCTCTCACCAGCAGCGTATTTCTGCACCTATTTTCAGCCCCCATAAACCCTATTCCATTGTTTCAGGGGACCTGATTCTTACTTAATAAGCCATCAATCTCATCCCTCCACCGCTATCCCAAATTCCCTCAGGGAGAAGGCACTGCAAGGAAGAAGAAAGTTCTTAATTAGGCTGTGCTCCTACACAAAATAGGAAAGCAAACCTAGGTATAAATATACCATCAAATAACCACTAAGGTCTTTGCTTATAGTGCCTGACTGCGATTCTCAGGTCCAGGTGTGAACTCAGTAGACATGTGAAGGAAGCAGAACTTGAACCTAACGCCAACTGACACACGATGCTGCTCTTCCTGACCGTTTGTGCTGCAGCTAAACTGCTCTGCTGCAGAACTTCTCCCATTTATAGGTTACTAAGAAACATAATATTGCTTTAAAATTTCATTGTGTTCAGCCTCCTCAAACCAGCATACTCATGAATCTTATTCATAACCAGGCTGAACCCAACACAATTTCCCTGTTTTCCCCTGAGATGGGGAAACGCCGCATCCTCCCAAGCAGACACGCATCACAAGTGTTCCAAAATCAAAAACTGGATCACAGACACTCAATGCATAAAGCCTGCCAAACCAGGGCTCTGGGTAGGTACAAATTCTTAAGAGCCGATATGAAAAACAGCTGTCTGGGGCTGGAAGACTTTATGACGTTTTGGAAAATATCGGGGGGCGGGTGGTAAAAGGATTTATACAGAGTGATGTGACTGAAAAACTCCCACACTCTTAATCAAAGCCCAAATAAGAACCTGCTTTTAAATGTACCCACCTTCAACACTGCACAGCTAACCTGGACTCGGGAAGCCCAGCTGTAGCTTAGCATATCCACACTGCAGCCTGACTGCTGGAGGCTTGCAGACCACTCCTTGCTGAGAGTTCAGCCAGCCCTGGCAGCAGGCTGCAGCCTGATGTCCTGATCCGAGTCCAGCCACCAGCCAGGGGTCCCTTGGTCCTGTCCTCCTATGGGCTGTGCTCCCGACCGGTCGAACAATAATCGGGGAGAGCCACAGGGAAAGCCGCATCTCACCCAGCATCATGCCCACTGCGGCCACTCCCTGGTCGTCAGCATCACCGGTTGCTTGCCATTCCACCCATGAAAACAGTGTGCAGAAACCAGGGGCTGCCACGGAAGGCGGCGCAGAGCAAGGAACAAAAGCATCAGAGGACAAGTGCAAATGGCTGGCCTCCAGCTCCGGGAGAGAGCAGAGGCTGCCGAGCCTCCCGGGGCAAGTGGAGATATTTTAAAACCACCTCCCAAGAAAAGAGGCAGCAAAGAGGATCTCAAGCAGCCAGAGCTGCCAGCCCTTCTCCAGGTATCAGGGGCTGGTCTATGACCGTAACAGTAAGCAGGACACACGTGAAAGTGCCTTCCGGTGCAAAAGCATACGCCTTAATACTGCCCAACTGGTCCTTTCACTCTTCCCTGTTTTTCGCAAGAGATCCTCAACGGCACGGACACGGAAACTTTCTCAGATTAACTGCAGAAAACTAAAGCCCAGTGAAGACGCCATGGGTGGCCTCTCTCAGCCCTCCCAGGGCCTTGCTCCAACCGCTACCTGCCCCACCCCTGGCGCCCGGGTAAGGCTTGCTCTGGGGCCAGCAACGCAAAATGACTCCCCAGCCCCAAGACACGCCAGGTTTTCGGGATCCCCTCAACTAGGAGAACCTAACTCTGACCCACCCCACAGGGGCGAGTGGCTTCTGGTGCGGGACGCGGGGACACTCCCAGCACGTGAGGGTACACTCCTCCGTGCTGCCGCGGCCTCGACTCATCGTGTCCACCCACGAGGAACTCGGCGGAGCCCCGGCACGTTGCCGCAGCCTCATGTGTTTCCTGAAACGCAAAGCTGCCACCCGCAAGCCGACCCGTGGAGCGTCGGGAATTCTCGCGCCCCCGCCCCCGGGCCGCGCCTTACCGCCGGTGCCCTCGAAGCGCGGGGCCGGGCGGTCCCGCAGCGTGGCGCTCCAGCCCGCGCCAGCCTCGTCCTCCTCCGACTCCTGCGCGGCGGCGACGGGGGCGCCGGGGCCCCGCGCGGGGCCGGGGCGCTCGTCTTCGTCGTCCGAGGATCCGGCCGAGGAGGAGCG